AATTACGCAATAGAAAAGGGACCTTTGACGATTCATAATTACAAGAATAACCTCACAATAACTTTTTCTAATCTCTATAGAATTATGCTAAAAAAGTATTGATGGATACAAAGACTTCTTAGAGACCCTACTTTTAACAAATTTTTATGGGCTTTTAAGTCAAATGTGCTCACTAAGAGCACCCATATAACTCACTCTGAGCGGTCTTGTGTGTACTTTTAAGGGTGCTCTTTAACTTCAATCACTTAGAGCACTCTTATGATAGAGTTTTGAGTGAATTTTGCTCACTCGGAGCATCTAAGTAGCTAACTCTAAGTAAGCTGATATAGTTATCTAGGGTTACTCTCTAACTTTACTCGCTCAGAACATTTTTGTGGTAGCTTTGAGAAAATTTCACTTACTCTCTATGATGAGGATCCTACTCACTTTAAGCGAACTGATCATCATCTCCAAGGTTGCTTTTTAACTTGGCTCATTTCAAGTTGTTGTTTGTGGCCTAGACCGATTGTTGTCTCTTGAGATTTTTAGCTTTTAAATTATTGTCTTTCCTATGTTCTAACTCAACCAAAGAAAAATATTACATATACCTATTTAAACAATTATATATTAATTAAAAATTAACTCTTGATTAAGGGTTTGTGACAAAAACAAGATTTAAAAGAATGAATTATATTAATAATTTTCTAAATTAAATAAAAATATATATATGCATATTTGGAAATTATCGGATATCACAATTGTAATTCTAATGAATCAAGAAACTTAACAAATACATTAAGAAAAACTAAAATTATAAATTTTGTAAAATTAAAAGATTAAAATAAAATAAAAATTATAGAACTAAAATTATGATGAGATATTACAAGTAATTAAGTATAATTTCGCTTAAATATTTCTTTCACGGATACTTAGTATCGATTCATGAGAATTGTGACCGTAATATTGTCACAAAATAGGTCACTTTAAAAATGAAAAAAAAAAAAAAGATTAAGACTTGATCTTGATTTGCAATACATGAAACATTTTATTTTCTTTACAAGTTTCATCCTAACCTATTTGTGCCGCCATCTCCGTGATATTATATAACAACGACAATACCCAACACACTAAGCCAAAACAAAGCACAAAAAAAACTCATCAGATTCAACACCAGCACCAAAATCCACATGGTTGGTGACTCTTGGCTTTAGTGTTTACTAACCGTCATTTATACATCACACTGTATCTTGTGTAATAACAATAATTTATATATACACATCACATTATATTATTAATAAAGATTTATCTATAACACTCACCCTTTCAACATGACTAATAAATATATTGGGTGGTAAACCTTTAATCAAATCTACTATCATTAATTTTGTATCAATATGATCAATAAATACTTTGTTTCTGCACTTCTTTTTTAACTTACAAAAACTTTAAATGCATGTGTTTTATTCTTTTAAAATAATTGTCATTCTTACTACCCAACAATTATTCCCACACCCCCGAGCGAGGTTTCTCACTCGCCCCTTACCTGGATGAGCAGAAGACAAAGCTAGAGCAAAATCTAGTCGATCTCCTTCTCTTGGTTCTCCTTAGTCTCCAGAGAGATAATAAACAAGTATATGTGGATAGACTAAAATATTAATAAAGGATTATGATTGATCTTGTTATACCAATTATAAAATATATTTAAAATTTGTATAAATAAATATTTTAAAATGAATAAATAAAATTTTAAATTTGAGTTAAATAATTTATATTATGATACAAAATTATTTTTAATTATTGATAATTTATTTTAAAAAAATATTAAAATTAATTTTTAAATAAATATTATAAAAAAAATTAATTAGATATCAATTTTTTAAAATTTAAGAAAAAGTGTTTCTAAAGAAATGTTTTTTTTTTCAAAGAAAACAATTCTTTCAAAAGCAAGTAAGACTTCTTCTTAAGAATAGTATAATTTTTTTTATTTTAAAAAAATAAGTTTAGTCAAACAAATTGGAAAATTTAAGAGTGTTTATCTACTCTATATATAATTTAGATAATTTCTTTTACTTTTTTTAACGTTATATATAAATAGAGTAAGCTAACAAATTTATCTTATTAGATATATTTATATTGCACCACGTGTAAAAAGAGAGTTTACTAAAGTCTTTTTAGTAACATAATTTCTTTAATATTTTTAAACTTTTTTAATTTTAAAATAATTTTTTTTTCAGAATTTTAACTAAAATTGTAATAAGAAAGGAATATTTTATTTTGTAACTAAATCCTAAACCCTAAATTATTTGTCCCCTTTAAATTCATTATTACCATTCTCAAAGTCGTCAATTTTGGAGTATATATAAGATTCACTTTTCTAAATCTTCTCTCTCAAATCTTTCTAGTCACTTAGGAAATTTTCTTTCCTCAAACACTTTCATCAAGGAGACCTTCTAGCGGCAAGTACATCATCTTTTACTTATCTAGATCTCTTCCTTTGAAGAATGGTGTGCCAACTTCATTCTCTTTCTCACCATGTGATTTATTTTCTAAGTTTTTGGATCGGTGGAAGCAATCTTGACAAGGAAGAAGTCTTCTAAGGAGAATTCGAGTTTTATTCACCTTGAAGATTCCATCACTTTATATTATAACTAAGTTAATCTAAATTATTATTTATTTATTTTAAAAAAGGATGTTATAAGCGAGAAAGACAATTGAAGAGAGAGAAGAAAAAGAAAGGAAAGAAAAAATTCATAAAATCTTAAAGATTTTTACGAGATTATTGGATGAATGATTAATATGTAAATTCTACTAAAAAAATCCTACAAAATCTATGATCCAAAAGAAACAATTAATTTTTTTAGGTTTTTGAATACCGATACACTTTTTTTAAATGAAAAAAAAAATCTTAATTCAATAATACCAAATTTCAATGTACTTCTAATTTTTTTTTATTGTTTTAGTTAAATACTACTAGATTTTGATGTGCTTTTATCAAATCCAGATTATGTTAATTGAATATCACATGAAATTTTAATATTAAAAAAATCTCAATTGAATATTAATTACAATATTTTTCATAATAAAAAAGTATTTTAAAAACCTTTGAAATCCTAATTCAATACACTCACCTAAGATTAAAAATAATATATATTATTATAATTAAAATCATATTATAAATACCTCTTATGAGATCATCAATATCATTATTATTGCAATTAATTGTCACTATTCCTACCACGTTATCACACCCTTTTCATCATCTTAACTTTCATCATCATCATCATAACTTGTATCACTATCACTAAAACCGCTCTCCCATCATTGCGTAGATGATGAGTACCATTGTTATCGTAACAATGTATCATCGTTGCTACAATCATGCTCTCATCATTGTTGCTGCCATATGATTGCAACGATAATGTGTAGTGGTTGTAACAACAATGTCAATCATTATATTATTGCTACAACCACTATCTCTATTGTCGCAAACATCGTCTCTATTGTCATAATTGTGACACAATGACAACAACAATGAGATCAATGGTTGTGGTGAGATAAAATTTTACTATCACCACTATCATTGTAATAACTCCTATTAATTTTCGCATTGGTTAATTAATTGTGAAAATGGTGGAAGTGATAATTAACATTAATATGAAGTTGCTAATTAATATATATATATATATATAATTCTATTTATATTATAATTCTATTTATATTATATATTTATTAGTTTTACTAATACAACTTATTTTTTGATAATTATATTTATATAGTATGTAGATATGTAATTAACTTTCTTTTATACAAAATATATCTCTTTTATGAGTTCATGTCATAACTTTTATGTAGGTTTGTAATAATTTGAAGGTAAAAAGAAAAAGAAATGAGTTGATAACCAATGACTTCCAAAATTATAAACTAAAATGACTCTTATGCTACAGTTTGTTTTATAAGAGAGAACCGCAAACTAGTGCAAAAGTATTCCGTGGGAATGTAATACAAGGCAACGTACCTCTTTCATATAGGAGAAACGATAAAATGAAAAATGGATTAAAAATAAAAATTAATCTCTATATATTAAACATAAATTTCTATTTCACACGAGAATAATTTTAGAAATCTTTTTTCAATGAAATTTTTTTTAAGAATTATTTTAATTTTTTTATCTAATTCAATTTTTATTTATCTTAATTTTTTATTTATTACATATTATATTTTAAAATAAATTATTGATAAATAAAAATAAAATTTGTGTTACAAGATAAATCATTTATCATAAATTTAAAATATAATTTATATATTTGAAAAATATTTATATATACTAATTTTAAATATAATTTATATATAATAAACAACTCTTTACATTACCCAGACTAAAATACTATGGATATAAACATGCATAATAATTTGTTCATTTCGTCACTTCCTTAAATTTATACTTTCAATTTCTCAACATGAATTTATATCATCCTACTTTATGACGTCGACATTGACGCAAGAAGGAAAACTAGTGGATATATAATTAATTAAGCCAATTTAAAATGTACTTTTCAACGAAAATTAATATTCCACAAAGATTACGCATCACGTATTTAACAAAATTGTCTTAATTAGTAATTCCAAAATATATAGAATTTATATCATCCTACTTTATGACGTCGAGATAGTGACGCAAGAAGAAAAATTAGTGGATATATAATTAATTAAGCCAATTTAAAATGTACTAGTCAACGTAAATTAATATTCCACAAATATTACACATCACAAATTTAACAAAATTGTCTTAATTAGTAACTCCAAAATATATAGATGGGAGCACTTCAATATGTTTTCCTCCATTCAGTCATTACCAATATACTTCCAACTTGGCAATTGAGTTTTATCATGCTATTATGATATGAAATTCAATAACATTACACAAATTAAGCACAACCATTTAATAAAATGTCTTCATAACTCAAAAACTCTATAAATAGGACACTTCATTTATATGCAAGCATTCCATCTCGTACAAACTATCCTACTACGAAGTTCTTAGTCCTTTCCGTGTTTCCTCGAACATGTATGCTTTTATATTTTACTTTTCTGCCTTGTGTTCCCTTTCTGTTGTGTCCTTGGCTGAAGCAAGTAAAACCCCAGGTAGTTTCAGCATTGACCTAATTCATTGCGACTCACTATTGTCACCCTTTTACAATTCTTCAATGACCCCATCACATCTCATAAAAAATGCTGCTTTACGTTCCATTTCTCGATCCAATCTTCTTCACTTCCTTGTGGGTGAAAAAGAATCAACTGAAACTATTATAATTCCAAACTATGGTGAATACCTCATGAAATTTTATATTGGTACCCCACCTGTGGAAAGGCTTGCAATTGCTGACACAGGAAGTGATCTTGTTTGGGTACAATGTTCTCCTTGTATGAGTTGTTTTCCCCAAGACACTAATTTGTTTGATCCAAACAAGTCTTCCACGTTCTCAAATGTGTCATGTGACTCTAAACCTTGCACACTACTCCCTAGTCGCCAACATCGTTGTGGAAATTCAGGAGAGTGTGAGTATTTGTATCAATATGGTGACAAATCATTCACAATGGGAGACTTAGGTGTTGATGTGATTAAATTTGATACGGAACAAGACCAAGGTGTTACATTCCCCAAGTCTATTTTTGGGTGTGGATTTAACAATGATTTTACAGCTGCTAAAATAGGCAAAATCACAGGACTAGTGGGTCTTGGAGCAGGGCCATTGTCATTAGTTTCACAACTAAGTGATCAAATTGGTCATAAATTCTCCTATTGTTTGCTTCCTTTTAGTTCAAATTCCACTAGCAAATTGAAATTTGGGAAAGAAGCAATAATAAAAGGGAATGGTGTTGTGTCCACTCCCTTAATAACCAAACCTTCTTCTCCTACCTTTTACTTCCTTAATCTAGAAAGCATTGTTGTTGGACAAAAGAAGGTGCAAACAGGTCAAACTGATGGCAACATAATAATCGATTCTGGGACAACATTGACGTTGCTTGAACCAACTTTATACAATAAGTTTGTGACTTTGGTAAAAGAAGTCATTGAGGAAGAGCAAAATCCTCCAAGCCCTTTCGACCTTTGTTTTAGATATAAGGATGATATGAATTTCACTGATATTGTATTTCAGTTTAGAGGAGCTAACGTTTCCCTACTCCCCCAAAACCTGCTTCTTCTGTTGGACACCAACTTGTTATGCTTCGCAATTGTGTCCAGTAATCAACAAGGGTTTTCCATCTTTGGGAACGTGGCGCAAATTGATTTTCAAGTGGAGTATGATCTTGAAGGCAAAATAATATCGTTCGCTCCTACTAATTGTACCAAGTTAGGTTAATCTCATCGTTTGTTTAATAAAGTATTTAGTAAGTTGTACCAGTACTGATGGATTATCAAAATAATGAGGATATATATGATGTCTTCTAGGTAATAACGATAATGAATAAATTGAACCAAGAGTTCTTTATATACATGTATTCTTCCCAATTTTGGCCTTAATATTAATATTGTTTTACGTTTTGTGATAGTCAAATGCAAAAATCACATTTTATTTTTTGTACCAGACAACAAAATTATTACTTTAGTTTCCTCGTTCTTCGCATATCACTACAACAAAATTGTCATATAATGACAAACAAAATATAGTGACAATATATATGTCAATAAAAATTATTTTTAACTATCAAATAAATAAAATATATGTTGGTATATTATTAAAAAGTGTAAGTATAGACTATAGTGACACACAAAATATGTTGTTAAATCTCATTCAAAATCAACACTAAAATTGTGCGTAACTATATGACAAATAGATATATACCTACATATATTATATTGTACCTATAGTGACACTTTTTGTATGTCACTATATGTAACATTTCTTGTAGCATCCTTCACATAAAATTATTAATGCGTCCAATTTTTATTTTGATTTTGATTTTTTACTTTTTGTAGTAATTATTATGAAGATATTTAGAGAGAAACTTTAATTATATAATGTTAACCATGAAATCTGTTAGAGTTTGGGTTTGAATCTAACTTAAACTCAAAAACTAATTTGTATGATGAGAATTATCACTCATTTATTATATATCTGTACTAATTAATTATCAGAATTAAAAAATAATAATTTTATACAATCATTTATTCATACATAATCATGTAAGGTAAGTTATTGATTTTTATAATAATTATTTTAAAAATTATATTAATAATAATTTTTAATTATTTATAATGTAAAATTATTTTATATTGATAGTACATAACTATTAAAAAAATAAGTCGCTTTTCAGTATTTTCAATAAAAGTAAAATAACGCCTTGAAAACCTTAAATAATTATAAAAGAATGGGTTATATATATATAAAAGAAATTTTTTGAGATTGTATTTTTTAATTTCAATAGGATGGGAAAATGGAAAACAAAGTGGAGCCTTAAGTATGCCTTTCGCTCCTTTGACTACACCTACAAAAAATCCTTTCATCGAATTATTTGCTAGTACTACACCTTTATTTGTTCCCCTTATGCACCACAGTACACATATCCCTCATCAACAACATTTTGAACAACCTTAATTTCATTATTCGCCTCCAAATCTACACCACCATGTCCACATTTCTCCTCCCTTTACTCACTTATTTACCCTTCAATCCTCATTTTACCCCACCTCATCAAAACTTAAAATATCAAAACTTCAACTCAACTTCAATGGAGTAAAACCCTTAGATATGATTAGTTTTTTCAAGCCGATCAAATTCTTTTAATGTAGTAAGTTCCTTGGGAGTATCGACTTCCCTCAATTCATTTTATATAAAAGTGGAAGCTCTTAACGTGTTTAAGTAAATGCACCACAACCACTAGTTCACAAATTAGCATTCGTTTTCCTGAGCCTTGAAACTGGACTTTGGACCCTCATCTTACGAGAATTACTAGGTAAAACTTTTTAACCTTTGCCAAGCATGCTCTATTTCTTATTACTACGCCATTTTTGAAAAAAATTGCAATAGAATTATTAGTTTACCTATTGAAAATATCTAAATTGTTTTATTTCAGATCTTATTCAAGAAATTTGTCACGAAAAGGTTATTCTTTGCCCTATATCTAGTGGGGTTTCATGAGTAGTTTTCAAAACAATTTCAATTAAAAGGAAATTCATGAGTGGACTACATGTGCGAGTAGGAGTTAGGGTTTTGTTTAAATACATTAGTAATGCTAGGTTGGTGGGGAGGTAGAAATACCTCCATACAAACTGCTACTGATGTTATGGAGGAGATGAATGCAATTGACCTCATAGAGGAAACTAGAATCCTATCAGAGGCAGAATTACAGAGGAGGATTCACTTACAATAAACATATTGGGAAGTGGCACTTAAAGAGGAGTCTCAACTGGCTCAAAAGGCGCGGGTCAGGTGGATACACTTAGGTGATATAAACTCAAAGTATTTTCACCATGTCATAAACTTGAACAGGAAGAGGAACTACATGCCTGGTCTTCTTATTGATAATCGGTGGGAGGAAGAACCTACAATAGTCAAAGAACACATTAAATCTTTCTATCAAGAAAGGTTTAGTGACTCCGTGACTCATAGGCCAAGCCTGGATGGGGTCAGATTTCAACAGTTAAACGCTCAGCAATTAGAGTTGTTGTCCAGGCCATTCGAGGAAGATGAAATAAAAAGGGCAGTTTAGGCGTGTGGGAGTGATAGGTGCCCAGGCCCAGATGGCATAAACTTCAAGTTTATCAAGGAATTTTGGGACATTATGAAAAGGAACTTGGTGCTCTTTTTCCAACAGTTCCATGATAATAGCAAATTACCTCGAGGGACCAACTCCTCTTTTATTTCTCTGATTCCCAAGGTTGATACACCGCAAAGTCTGAATGAGTATAGGCCTATTTCTTTGATAGGATGTATGTATAAGATACTCGCAAAGATTCTAGCACTTAGACTCAAAGTAGTGCTTCCTTATTTAGTCAATGAGAGGCAGATGGGCTTTGTGGAGGGAATGGGATTATTACAAGGTGCTATGGTTCTTAATGAGACGCTTGATGAGGTTAGGCAAAAAAAGAAGTCATGCATGTACTTCAAGGTTGATTTTGAGAAGGCGTACGATTTAGTTTCATGGACCTTTGTGTTATATATGCTAAGGCGCTTTGGGTTTCAAGATAAGTGGATAGGTTGGATTGGTGAGTGCTTAAGAACCTCTTCCATGTCAGTTCTGGTTAATGGAAGCCCTACAACGAAATTTTCTATGCAAAAACTAGTAGAAAATAAGCATATTACGTCACCCCTTTTACGTCGGAAATACGAAAATCTGACGTAAAAAAAATGCGGTGGCATTTTTGTAATTTTTGCGAACTTTTTTACGTCGCACCTGGTAAGGTCCGACGTAAAAAGTCCAATCTACGTCGCACCTGGGAAGGTCAGACGTAAAAAGTCCAATTTACGTCGCACCCTACCAGGTCCGACGTAAAAAAGACGCAAATTTGAATAAGAGAGCGCGAGGCACACCGCGCGCATTCACTTTTCATCACTTTTCATTTTTTTCTCTGTAAACCCTCTCCCTCTTCTTTGTTACTGAATCGTTTTCTTGTTTTTTGCAGAGGGATGAACTCTTTGTTACTCATTTGCACATTGTTGCTGCTCCTCAGGTATGAAACAAGGTTTCGTTAGCACTTTTCTACTTAGCATTGCTACTCTGGTTATCTATTTTATTCGATTTTTTGGTTGTTTTATTTGTGTAGGTAGTGGACGTTTTTGTTGTTGTTATTCTACGAAGCAGAATGGCTTGTTCTGCAAGCAGAACGGCCTGTTCTGCAAGCAGAACGG